AATTCTCTCTTTTAAGTAGCCAAGTATATAAAGTATTAAAAAGTTAGTTTTTTTTAAACCATTAAAAAGTTAGTTAACAGGACTGATAAACTGAAAATAAGAGCCACTAATAAGTTACACAAAGCTAAAAAGTGAGAAGTTGTTTTCCGTATAAAACATTGTTGTTTTCATTTGAGTTTATTTAAATGGTTCTAATTTTAATTGAAAATGTATGATTCGCTGACTACGTAAAATGGTAGAAAATGATGAAAAATTATGCTCTAGTTGTGTTTGATCATATTTTCATTATAAAAAGGATTTGAATAGAATAAAAAGAGATGTTGAACTACATATTTCTGTAAAAAGGAAAAATAAGGCCATAATTATTAGATAACCAAAAAAAGAGTAAAGGCACAAAAATGAGATGAAGAAAGTATCAACGCTAAAAAAGACAACGTTAAGTTCAATGTTTGATCAAGATGTTAGTTAAATATTTTCAGATTGAATTACTGTATACGATCATTATAATATATTTTCATATTCTTTTTCTTTTCTTTATCAATAAAATATATTTTAAATATTATTTTTACAATTGAGCATATTCATTCTATTCAGCGTCTCAATCATAATTTCATCAGTTTTAGCATATTGAGTCACTTCAACTAATTTTAGTGTTATGGATCAACAATATAGTGTTATTTTAAAAGTCACATATTGACTTTTAATAGTGCATCAAATCACTCATGGCAACTATTGTACACTTACTTACATTTTATTTGATTTGACATAAAAAGGGGTATAAACAGAAATATAAAGCAAAACATTATTTTGCATAAATATGTGAGTTATACATAAAAAAATTTCTAAAAATTCTTCCTTTACACATTTTTTTGTACACACAATATTACACACGTTTGTGAGTAGTTATTTTTTGTCTGTGAACAGAGAAATTAAATCATATTTTGTCTATGAAAAGGTTATTCCCGAATAAAAAATAGTTACTCATAGACATTTACAAGATTGTGTGTGCAAAAAGTGTATCAATTTTTTTTTTTCAAATTGTTTTTTGAGAATAGCTTATACATGGGCTTTTATTACCCGTATAGTTCACTTTTATACACTCCATTTCATTTATGTCCCAACTATTTCCTCTTTTCATTTATAGACTTTTCTATTTTCAGTTTTGTTGTTTTATTTCACATTTAGACCATCCCACCTCTCCGAACCCCTACCTTCCGTCTCCCTGCTCAATGCTCATCTCATATTCTCAGCATCTGAATTCATGTAAGATATCATTCACATCACATCAGACGGAGTTCTTGCCACAGCGGTCTTCTTCCAACCTTTCTCGCTGGAGCGGACGACACACCATCTGGAGAAAAGGGGGCCGCATCTCATCTTCTGCAGGTTGCAATTGGAGCTTTGAGTTCATTGGTCGCGACATACTTTCCAGGATTGATCAATCCCTTATAGCATCGATCATTCAGAAATAAATTGGAGGACCTATAGGCGGAATTCATGTCTTCAATTGCACACTCTTGGAAAGTATTGTAAAGATATTCCACCTTCTTTCTTGGAAGTTGCCAAGAGGCATCTCACACCTTCTAGAAAGGAGCTATCCAACAAATGAACATGGAAGTTGCTTGGAGATAGCTAGGAACCTCCCTATCAATGGGAATGGAAGCTGCAACTCCCTCATGTCTCCCATATACACCTATAAATAGGGAATGTATTGTTGTTCATTTGTATCAGTTTAGAAAATGAGAAAAGTGTGTGAATAGTGAAAATACACTTAGAGTAGAAGCGTATTGGTGAGGATTGGTTTTTTGTAATAGTTGCGTGTGGGAGTTTGATCCTCCTATTGTAATTCTATTCTTGATCTTGAATGGAAGAATTTTCCAATCCCAACAAGTATTGGAGGCGGAGGCAGTTTTTCAGTAATCTTATGGGCTTGAATAGACAGGCTTTGTCTTCTTCTACTAACAGCCGAAGGAGTGCAGTAGCAGAAGGCATGCGTACAGATTTTTTTCTAAGGGAATGTTGTAGCAACATAAACACGGTGTGAACAAGGTGCTCACAGAAATCCAGCTTCCAAGGTCAAAATTCAAAGTAAAAATTTTTTGTTTCAACTTTACCTTATACAAGTGATTAAATTCATATAATACAGAGTATTCTGTTTCTTAGTTTAAGAAAAAATTTAAAAATCATCACCAATTACTTATAGGACTTGTGTGTCTTGCAAGGGAAGTGGAAGGCAAGGCGTTCGATCTATTAATCTTTTTTTCATGTTTCTACTAAATGTTTCCTGCTTTGTTGTTTTACTATGGAAAGTTTTTATGTATTTAATGATTCTTTGGTTATTTGAAGATGAAATTTGCTAAAATTGTGGGTGATGGTCTCATGGTCTGATGGAGCGGCTAAGCATGGTACAGTAAATCTACTTCTGTTGTTGCACTATTCTATCTTCTTACTTTGCAAGTGCTTTATTCCGATTTTACAAGTATTCAAGATGTTCAAGAATTATTCTAGTAGAAGCAAGTTTCAATTTGGTATGATCGTGTTGCCAACAAGTTTTGTAGATATGATTTCAGTATTGGCATCAATGTGGGTGATTATGATCTCCACAAGGTTTAGTAGTTTCTTCAGAATGAATCTTATATCACATATTCTTATCTCATTATTGTGACCCTTTTTTGTGAATGTAATGCTTGTGAGAACTTCAAAAAGGAAGAGTTTAATTGTGCACATACTCTATCGTCAGGGCATCAGTTTATTTTAGAATAAATTCAGCGCTTATGGAAATTAATCTACACAAATGTGGATAATGAAGTCGAGTGTATGCATTGTAATGATTTTAAATTCCATAAAAATAGTTTTTAATTATAGTTATATTTCACATCATGTATGTGTATAACTGAATTGAAATATGTAGTTATTGGATATGATTATATGTTATTTTTTCTTGTTTCTATTTGTTACTTTGCGATGTTTCTTTTTGTTTCTTCTTGTTGCGCCATGTTTCAGTTTGTTTCCTCATGTTGCTTTTTGTTTTTTTCTTGTTGCGTTGTGTTTCATTGTGTTGCTCCGTGTTTCTTTTTTTTATTTCTTTTCAACTATTATTTTTTAGATTAGTTGTTTGTTGTTAATTTATGATTCCAATTGTATGTAATAAGTTGATATGCCAAAATTAATCAGATGAGATAATAAAGTGTCTAGTTGGAAAATATAGGTGTGATCCTCTCCTTTCCATTTGACCCCTTTATCTAGACATCGATAGTTGTTTGTAGTTTCTGTCCATCGTGATTCATTGGAAGCTGAACTCCACTCTGAGCATCTTGGAGGTGCATCTGGAGCAAACACAAGTGATGAAATCCAGAATGATTCATGGGTTATTCAAATGAAGCGTGAATTGGATGCTTAGAAAATCAGAGCAACCTAGGACAACCAGACCTCTCACATCGTAATATGGCTGGAAAAGTCACCCAAGAAGCTTGTTCTTCACTTGTAAATGCATACTAGAAATCCAGTTTAATTGTATTTTTATAAATACCGCGATTCTTCATTTCACATGTAAATGTATACTTAAACCCAGTTTAATTGATTTTTATGAATACTGTTATATAAGTGTAGTTCGGATCATGAATGTAGAAAACTAAATTTAAATATGCACATATTCATTGGATACTATATATTATACGTAGTATGTAGTTATAATTTTCTAGGGAAAAGTGTCAATTTGGTCCTCCTACATTCATGAAAAAGTCAATTCGGTTCTCGTACTTTCAAAAACATAAATCAGATTCCCGAACTTTGTAAAAGCGTTCAATTGAGTACATTTGCATGTTACTTGCACACATTGCGGTCCACGTGTCCGTCATGTCATCAACAAATGACTGATCGGGCTTCCACATGTGTGCCACGTCAGCAAATTATTGATGATTGAGCTGCCATATGTGCGCCACGTGTGACTTGCAGACATGGCAAATAACCTGCAAATGGACTTAATTGAACATTTTTACAAAGTTAGGAAACTTGATTGATCTTTTTAAAAGTACGAGGACCTAATTGATTTTTTCATGAAAGTAGGAGGACCGACCAAATTGATAGTTTTCCAAATTTTCTATTTTGTTACCTTTTGTTTTATTGTGTTGTTTTTGTTTCTTTTTGTTGTGTTGTGTTGCTTGTGTTGTGTTGCTTTTTGTTGATCTGATTTCAATTATTGGTTTTCATTCATGTTAATTGTTTGTTTGTGTTTTCATTTGCTTATGGTAGCTTTGTGTATGTTTGTTTTACACCTGTAATGATGAAATTGCAAGGACATCTAGCCGCACATGACATATGACCTAGTGTTATCTCTATATTCATTTTACCCTGATATGAATTAAATAAACACTTTTATGTTATTTTTGTATATGATGCATTCTCATTAACACATGAATTTCCTCTTTTTACATTTGATAAAATATTGCTTCTACTAATTTGAGTAAAATTACGAGCAGGCTTATAGCTTGCCTTCAATAACTCTGCAAAAACCAACTGTTATCTATGGAGGTTAGAATTTAGACTACTGCTCTTAGTCTTAACAATACGTGTTTGACTTTGTATTAATATACTCCGTATTTTACAATTTTTAGAAAGTGCTAGACAAAACAGAGAGCTTGTTAGATGAACAAACTTCCTCCCTCTTTTGGTAATAGTGTCTAGTGCTCACGCATTTCCCTCTCTCCTTTTAATATTATATTTGTAATTGTTTTATTATAGTTTAATGGCTTTAACTCATATACTCAGAGCTGTAGAATGTAACTTATCTTCTGGTCCCAAATTGACACTAGTAATATTTGAATATTTGATCCTCAAATTGAATGATTTAAACTAGTCTATTTTAGGTCGGTGTGCTGGTAAGTGGTCACAAGCTATTTGAATTTTTTGATTTTTATATTTCCTGAATATTTTTAATTTGATTTGTTTTTTAGTATTTTTATTATTTTGCCTAATTATTTTCACTTGTTTTACTTTTTATTATTTTTCCATTTTTGTTTTGTAGTTTTGATTTGAAAAACATAAATTGAGTAGTGAGTGAACTTTTTGTTACGAAGTAAATTGTCAACGGAGCATTTCTTAACTAATTTTCCAGTAGGCTAAGGATGTTTTCTTTTGGACTGAAATTTGCTGACCTGGTCTGGTCTGAACTGGTCTGGTCTTGTCTGATAAACGTCTGGTCTCTGTGTATTTTATAACTACGGAAGTCTGATCTAGTCTGGTCTGGGACTGAAAACAGTCCAAAAGAAAACATCCCAACTCATCCAAAAACTCTATTGTTACACAGATTTTATACACACATACACACTATAAATATCCTAAAAATAATTTACCCCCTTCCCTCACCACTTCCAATTCACACGTACGACACTACTCTGCCTCCCAAATTTTTCGCTCATCCCCACCTTCTCCCTTCCTTCGAATGACCGCAACCTTCCCCTTCTTCCTCCTATCAATTTTGATTTGGTCTTCCGATTAATCACCGTCGCTGGTTCGTCGCCGCCAACACCTGACGAAGCGAACCCTCTTCCCCGGCAACCCCCCATCGAAGGCAACCTCCGTCCAAGGAGACCATCGTCGTTGCGCATTCCAAGGTGCGAACTTCCCATCGAAGTCGTTGATTTCGTCTCAGTCAAAGATGGTGTGAACCCCGCTTTCTTCCCTGGCCGAAAGGTATGTATCCTCTATCATTGGATTTTTTTTGGCAATTTATGATGTTTATTTGGAGGGTTCAGAAAATATTTTTGTGTATGAAGTTTTGGACCCATCTAGTGCTTGGATTTTGAACAATATGCATTTGTTTGGAGATATGTCATTACTTTCTTGTATTGTCTGTGTAAAGTTAATTTTATGCATTTTGAAGGACATATGTATTGTTTGTGTGAAGATAGATTTGTCTAGTTATTTGTCTGTATGAGTATATGTAATTGGTTGTGGCTCCATTTGTGTGTGGAGACTTATATGATTGTCTGTATGACTCTACATATGTCTGTGTGAGTAATATGATTGTCTGTGTGACTGATTCTTTGTCTGTATCTAGTTGAACGCTTGTCTGTGTGACTTAACATATGTCTGTTATAATAGGGTCATGTTGCACCATCTTCCTCTGATTCTGGTTCATTAGGAAACATAATTGTTGACTTCTACTGGGTAAGCTTGTTTGAGTTCACGATCTAGCTGCCACTGTTTGCTGCTTTGTCAAGTTTATTACTAGTATTTATTATTACCTTACACATGTTTCCTTTCTTCCTTTCTTCATAGTTATTCTCTTATTACAACAAAAGTTAATTGACAGAATACCTAAATACAAAACTTATAAAAGAACCTATTGAAGTACTAATGAAGTAAATGCCTAATTGGAAGAAACTGTATATTATTATTTTAATAATAATGTAATTTGAAGGCCCTATATTTTTTAAATGCAGGGGATGGAACTATATCCTCGTATTGGCAAAGGTTGATATCAAACTTTGATATCAAAGTTTTCACAAACTGCAGATTTGGCATGATGTCTTGGGCAGTTCTAGCTGTCACTTACTGCATAAAACAGGTGAAACTTTTAAACTATCCTTGACAATGATATAAAGTAAACATTTTTCGCATTTGACTTTTTATAAAAACTTGCCTATTTATTTCACATCTAAACTTTTTATATCTTTTTAGTTATCTTAGGTACTTTTGGTGATGTGGTACATGTTTGTTGCATATTTCTTGAAGATTACTTCACCCCAGTGACCGGATATCAATGAACTTGAAATCATATTTATAAAGCAGATGATTGAAAATTGATCATGTTTTTTTAATGTTCATCATGGACTTCCCAGTACTAAGAATATGGAAAAGTTGATGATTCCATGCTTCTGACACTACAACAAAATAGAGCTTTTGTAACACCTTCTTTGCAACATTTTTTTTTATGTTACATATTATGTATAGAGCCAATAATCTGCAACACATATTTAAACATGTTGCATAAGTATATAAATCGCACGATTACGCAACACTTAATAAAAAGCATTGCGTATTACTATGTTTAATGTAACATTTATTTTAAAGTGATGCATCTACCCGATGTATGTAACACTAATTAAAAGTGTTGCATCTTACGAATTCTGATACATATATATCCGAATTAAATATACGTCACGAGTATTTTAAAAATTTGATTTTTTTCATGGTCAATTTATACTATTCCATCCCTTCCCGCTTAAACACTTTTATTTCCCGCTAATTGAATACTTAGTAATATCGTGTATACCAACAAGTATATCTCACCTCCCTCTCCAATTTAACCCTAATTATCCCAACCCTAGCTCTGCTCTACCGATTCTCCCCAGATCAGTAAGTAGCCACCGATCTTCTTTCCATGCCGCTTCTTCTCGAATCTTGCCGTGAAGCTCTGCTACGCTCTTGATAGCTACAAGCGTTGCGCTCTCATACGGATTTGCCAGATAACTTCCGCTCCAGGCCATTATCACATCGAATTGGTAAGCTCTTTATCTCCCTCCGGCTCTATTACTAGCTTTTTTTTATTCGGCTTCATCTTTGATGCTCTCTCTATCTGGTAAATGGCCTGAATTATGCTTCGATGTTAGTTTGATTTTTATTAGTGTTTTTATATACTTACTTAAAAGAGAAGTTTCATATTCGGATTCTATTGAGAAAAGTCTATCACGAATTTGTAATTCAGGTTTATAACTAAGAGCCGAATCACACTTTTTTCTCATGTGTTTGATCAAAGGGTTTTTATTTTCTGTATAAATTGTAAATATGTGAATCATGAGAACAATTATATATATTTATTTACTCATTTTTAATGTGAGAAATCCACACCTATATATAAAAAGTACTATGAAGAATGAATTTGTCGATTTGAATTAGTTGATTAACCTTTAAAGTGGTTGCTGCAAAGTCATGGCTGAAAGACTTCGTGTGTGAAACGAGGTTCTAATGTTCTATCGTATCCAAGCCATGAGTTAGCACTAGGTTAGCAATTTAAAGTAATTATAAAATGTTTTAGTACTTCCTTAATGACACTGATATTTAGGGTGAACTATAGTTTACTTAATGATCTGTACTAGTGTTGGTTCTTCCAAACTGATTCTTTAATGGCTCCAAGCTTTCCTTTCAATGTAACAAAAAGCTTTCCTTTAACTACTCCGTATATAATACTATGGGTACCAAAAAGTCATAACAATGATAGTTTAAAGATTACATTTGAAATATGAATATTTAAGGAATATGATGTACTACTCTTAGTTAATAGTGCAAACATAGTACACCTATAGTAATAACCAACCAATATCTCCACTTTTTCTCCTAGTCATACAAAACATCAAGCCTCAACACTTTAATGTCTTTTTACTGCCACCAAATTAACTATAGTTGACACTGATATATTTTGACAACTTGTTGTATTGTGATCTATACTAAACAATGCAGTAAGAGCCTGGGAAAAGTATCCTTGTATGCCTATGTAAATACAATAATTTGGAGTATCAAACTATATTTTTTAACTTATTAATGTTATTTTTTCCCTTGAGGAAACTGTTGCAAGTGTAGCATGCAGGTGATAGAGTCGTAGCTAGCTGTATACCCCTCCAGTTAAAGCACCCTATTAAATCTTAACTTTTAAAAAAACTAAACAAATTTTTGTGGCTCAAAAGATCATATTCAATAACTTTTACGTGTTCATCCTAATACCATCAAATTAAATTAAGCAAAAAAATTAGAGAGAAGGGTCATGTAGACCCCTCTACAATTGTCAATATATCATTTAAATCCATCTAATAAAATAAGCATCACATAACCATCTCTACTCCAAAAAAACAATCATATAAGCCAATTTATAGGAAGATGACCAGTTTTAACGGGTCGTTTGCTTGTTTGTGATATTTTTTTTTCTTTGCCTTTGTCTTTCTATTTTTTCTTTCTCTTTAACTTTCTGCATTTTCATTCTCTTCTGTTATTCCCGCTCCCAGGTGTCCTGCATCTTCCATCCCTTCTTCACCGTTCTTATTTTTCTTTCGTTCTTTTTTCTTTACCTTTTGTTTCGCCTGACCTTTTCGTTTTCTATCTTCCTTGGCTTGTTCTCCGACCCTGTGCGGCCATGCTCCCTTTAATTTTCATCTTCTTCGTTTTTCATTCTTCTTTTATTAATCACATACAGAGTATATAGTTCTAAGTATATTGAAAACTATTGGACTCTCTTCCGATCTGTGAACATGGTTTTGTGTTGACTTATTAATTCTTATTAATAGCTTTTATATTCTTCCCCCAAAAAAGCAATAGCTTTTATATACATAGCTTAGGTAGCTAATGTATACTTATGAAGACATTATCCATACACAAAAAAAGTCTGATAGGAAATGTGAAGCATATAATTTAACTTCTTTATGAGCCTGCTAGTGTTTGGGAGTCCATGCTTAGGTGGGACTGGGAGAGTTCTCTTTTCTTTTCACATAAAATGGTCTAAAAAATGAACTCTAACTTGGCCCTCTGGTTATATATACATACATTGATACACATATTTACACACATTGACACACACAACAACATATATACACACATAGATCTCACATCACATCTCTGGTTGAAGAAATCATCCCTGTGAGGCTGTGACCATGTAGCCATGGTCACTCTTGCAGACCACCTACTGCCGCCGCCACGAAATCCTCCTTGGCTGCTTATACCACCGCTCTATTAAATCTTAACATGTTGATAGATTGAGTTTGACAAGAAGTCACTTGGACTGTCAACCATTCCCACCTAAATAATATTATACACATTCATGTCTAAAAACTTTAATGGCATTAAGATCTCTTAAAATGAGTCAAGACTAATAAAGTCTTATCCCCACTTTATAGGCTTGCTACTTTTGGCAGCTTGCCTTGTGAGCTGTAGTGATCCTCTTTAATTGTAGTGGTCCTCTTTAAATTAATTTTATCCTTTTTCTTTTTCTGGGTTTTAACTTTATTCCTAGTCCAATTTGCACCAAAATTATTTACTTCATGACTAATCAAAGTTCTTCACCCTCACCTTCTTCATCTTCAACATTCAAGTCTTTTGAATGTTAAGGTAATCATAGAAGTGATAGCTAGAACTGAGCACCAAGTAAACTGATTTCAATTTATTGTGAAGCACATTATTAGCATCATATTGGTGCTACTTAAAATGATGTGGTGTTAAGTACTTTAATTGATTTTGATTACAACTATCTATCTAACTGATTTCGATTAATTGATATTAATAGACACTATAAATCAATTTATAAAACTACTCCAGTATCAAGGTGGTAGTTATTAAAATCATATTTTTCTATTCAATCACTAAAAGATTCTTAAATTTTATTACAAATGTTAAGTGGCATCGCCTAAATTTTATTTTTATTTTGTCTCTAATCAACTTCCTTTGTATAGGACTTTGCTTTATTAATTTGTTTATTTATTTTGTATTAGCTGAAGTTGCGGCTAGTTACGTTTATCTTCAAATCTTTTTTTTTTGTCCATTTTTGTGAATAAAGTGGTATCTCCAGAACATTATTTTTATTTTGTCTCTTTTTAAATTCCTTTGTATAGGACTCTGCTTTATTAATTTGTTTATTTATTTTGTATTAGCTGAAGTTGCGGCTGGTTACGTTTATCTTAAAACCTCTTTTATTTTGTCCGTTTTTGTGAATAAAGTGGTATCTCCAGAACTTTATTTTTATTTTGTCTCTATTTAACTTCCTTTGTATAGGACTTTGCTTTATTAATTTGTTTATTTATTTTGTATTAGCTGAAGTTGCAGCTACTTTATATTAAAATCTCTTTTATTTTGTCTATTTTAGTGAATTCTAAGATAATGGATAGAACCTGGATGTATAAACATAGACTCTCATTGCAATTCAAGAATGGATTGTCGAATTTCCTTGACCAAGCCTTTGCTAAAGTAGCTCGTGGAGATCAAGTCCCTTGCCCATGAAAAATGTGTAAGAATCGTTATTGGTATCATAGAGATGAAGTGTGGAATCATTTAGTGGCAAAGGGATTTGTGGAAAATTACTTCAAGTGGAACTTTCATGGTGAGGGACCTATGTCAGCTGACCCCAGGGGTTATGAGAATGAGCGTGATACGAATATGCATGACAACATTGATGATCTTCTAGGCGACAGATTTAGAGGGATTCATGAAAATGAGAACCGAGAAGGGATGAATGAAGATGCAAAAACTTTTTATAGTTTGCTGGAGGAGGGAAAGAAAGAATTGTATCCAGGATGCAAGAACTTTACCATTCTGTCTTTCTCAATTCGTCTTTTACTTTTCAAGACAATTAATGGCCTTAGCAATAAAGCATTTTCTGAACTGTTAGTGCTTTTCAAAGAAGTAGTTCCTGATGGAAAATTTCCTGAATCCTTTACTGAAGCGAAGAATATGGTAAAAGACATAGGACTTCATTACCAAAAGATACATGCATGTCCTAAAGATTGCATGCTTTATTGGAAAGGGGATTCTAATCTAGAATCATGTCCTAAATGTCATACCTCTAGATGGAAAGCGAAGGATGCTGGATATCATAAGCATAAAGGGAATGTTCCAGCCAAGGTTTTGTGGTACTTCCCACTAAAACCGAGGTTAAGAATGTTATATATGTGCTCAGAAACCGCTGAACAAATGGCATGGCATGATACAAAACGTCCTAATGATGGCAAGATTAGACATCCTGCGGATGGTGAAGCTTGGAAGAAATTTGATTCATTGCATCCTCAATTCGGGAAAGAAGGTAGAAATGTGAGATTAGGACTTGCAAGTGACGGCTTCAATCCTTTTCGAACAATGAGTATTGCTCATAGCACTTGGCCAGTAGTGCTGGTCAATTATAATATTCACCCTTTGTTGTCTATGAAGTCTGAAAACTTGATGTTGTCTTTACTGATACCGGGACCCCACTCTCCCGGGAATGATATTGATGTTTATTTGCAGCCATTGGTAGAAGATTTAAAAGATCTATGGGTAGAAGGTATTGATACATACGATAAATTTAGGAATGAGACATTTAAACTACGTGCTGCGGTGCTATGGACTGTTAGTGATTTTCCTGGTTATTCTATGCTCTCGGGATACAAAACGAAAGGTAAATTTGCATGCCCAGTGTGTAATTATGGTACATCTTCCGTGTATCTAAAACATAGTAAGAAGACTGTTTACATGGATCATCGTAGATTTTTAGATGCGAATGACCCAAAGCGGAATAGAAGGACATCGGTGGAGAAGAGGCTTGCACCAAAGCCATTATCTGGATTTGATGTCATTGAGGAACTGTCTTCATTTAATAATGTCTTCGGGAAGTCACAGAAGAAGAAAATAGATAGTAACTGTGCATGGAAAAAAAAATCTATATTCTTTGAATTACCATATTGGAAATTCAATGATTGTCGACATAATCTTGATGTTATGCACATAGAAAAGAATATTTGTGACAGTTTGATTGGAACATTGTTAGACATTCCTGGGAAAAGCAAAGATCACACAAAAGCCCGACTTGACCTTGTGGAACTTGGTCTTAAAAGGGAGCTACAGCCTGTTCTTTCTGATGACGGCAAGCATATTATTTTAAAGAAGGCACGATTTTCACTTTCCACCGAAGAAAAAGAGTTGTTTTGTTCTGCTTTAAAAGGAGTAAAATTACCTTATGGTTGTGGATCTGATATTGCACGTTGTGTACATGTTCCAGAGAAGAAAGTCTCGGGTTATAAGAGCCATGATGCTCATATTATGCTGCATTTCTTGCTTCAAGTAGCCATAAGAAGAACTTTGCCTAAACATGTTGCCATACCTTTAATTAGGTTGGGCACATTTTTTCAAAAGATATGCAATAAAGTCTTTTTACCTGAAGAGCTTGATCACTTAGAGTTAGAAATCAAGGAAGTATTGTGTGATCTTGAAGAAATATTTCTGCCATGTTTTTTTGATATAATGGTCCATTTGCCTATTCATTTGGTGAGAGAGATTAGACTTGGTGGACCAGTTCCATATCGGTGGATGTATTTTATGGAGCGATATCTATGCAAGTTGAAGACATATGTTCGTAATAGAAGTCGTCCGGAGGGATCTATAGCAGAAGGGTACCTAATTGAAGAATGCTTGACATTTTGCTCTAGATATTTACAAGATGGTGTTAATAGAAAGCTACATACTGTCTCTAATAACATTGATATGAATGCCAATATCGACTTCACAGTATATAACACCACTGGTTATCCACTGGGAGGGATCAAAAGAAGAAAAGGAAAGCCATTCACCTTGGATGATTCGACGTCCAAGCTTGCACATCGTTATGTTTTATTTAATTCAGATAGTAAGGAGTTAGAAGATTTAATTCGGTAAGAAAATAATTACATTGTGTCCTACTTTTTTAATCTTATTATTCATCTATTTAACATATACTGTCTTTTTTTAATAGAGAACATCAAGATCAGATGTGTAGAAACAAAAAACGAAGTAGATGGGCGCAAGAGCATAACCATAGTCACGAATTCACTACTTGGTTAAAGGACAATATATCTAATCACCATGTGTCTGATAATGTATTTTGGTTATCAAAAGGACCATGTCCTACTGCAAAGAGGTATATTGGATATTTTGTGAACGGATACCACTTTTATACAAAAGATCGTGATGAAAGATGCAAAACGCAGAATAGTGGAGTGAGTGTAACGGCTGTGACAAACAGTTTTGCAAGTTCTAAGGACAAGAATCCTGTCATCGGTGATGTTGTCTACTATGGGGCCATACTAGATATAATTGAAATAAGTTACTGGTCAAAGTTCAAGATTGTATTGTTCAGATGTGAATGGTACCAACCTGAGAAAGATGAGTATGATCTTAATTGCGTTAACACCACAAAGTTTTGCTCTTCAAATGATCCTTTTGTCATGCCATCTCAAGTACATCAAGTTTTTTATGTCGTAGATCCTCTTAAGAATGAGCTGTCATATGTTATGGAAAGAATTCCTAGAAGTTTTTTTGATTTAGAGACTTCGATAAGTGAAGAGGCTGAAGTTAACTACTGGCAGGAGCCTGTAAATCACCGAGTTCACACTTATCACAATGAATCTAATGAGGATGTAGATGGATATAGAGAAGATCTGGCTCCAACTATTCTTGATGCTCAATCTGAGACTGTAAATGTTGGAGAACCAAGCAATGAAATCATAAGCGAATCAGATGACGAAGATGATACACTATGGGATTGGATGCATGCGAGTGATGAGGAGCAATAGCTTTGTTTTACTTTTCATTTGAAGTGATAATAACATGCCCATTTTATTTGAACCAGCACATGTGACTTTTTATGTTTGAAATAATTTGGGTTATTTCTTAAATAACATGCTTAATTTTGCTAAATGTTTGAGTTTCCAGGATTTCTTACTTGAAGCTAACATGTAGCTTTTGATGTTTGTCTTTGATTGCTTTGGTAATTCTGTGTTGATAAATTTCATAAAGCAGATTAGATTTGCACTTTTCAGTTTCTTCTCCTATCAGTCAATTTAATTTATGATTTGGGTAAGCCATCTTGTACTTGGAAGCTAGGTATGTCAATGATTAGGGGTAAAACCGGTCCCTCCTATTCGTCTCCTTTACTTTCTATATAAATATTTCTTTGCAACAGCCAACAAGTAATTACACATATAAGTGATGCTAATTCTGGTATACTCTCTGTTTTGTTTTGTAGGCACACATGGAGAAAATTAAAAGAGAAAATTTGGCAAGAAATTTAGCATCAAAGCGAACTTCAGCTGCGTTTGGAGAAATTACGCCAGACTATGAGAAGCAACGCAGGGAAATAATTGGCCAAAATAAGGAAAAGATGATCGCATTAAAAATCGCTGATATCTCTACTTCATTGTCAAGTTTGGTGGATAGTCACAATGGGAGAAAGAGAAAAGAGAAATCGAGTAATGATCCTAATTATGTTCCTACGATTGAAGAAAGTAACTCGTTAAATATGGATGAAGGTGTGAATCTCCCAAAAAAGGTAACGATGTAGATATACTTGTTGAAAAAATATTTATTTAATGATATACTTATTTTAATGAGTTTACAAAAAAGATCAGCAGACCTAAAATCTGCCTCCAATATAGAGAAATCATCACTTTCGTAATTTTGGGATGGGGTGAAAACTTGTTGGAGGGGCTGAGCATTCTGAAATGAACTATGATATGCAGGTGGTAAATTCTGGGATCATGTTTCCAATTTACACTACTAATCTGCGATATTATTAACAATTAATGGTTGCAATATTATTATTTTTGTAGAAAAAACTGCCAAAGTATATTGCACCGCAATCACTTAATAGGGTTCTGAGGAATAAACAACCTCAAGGCATGTCAAAAATCATTTCTAAGGATCAAAATGAACCTGTGAAAGAAGTCACAACACTGAAGAGCAAAAGAAAGAGCCCTGTTATTGACGCAGTTGTAAATATGGCCGAGTATTTACGAAAGAAATCAGGTGATGAAGTTACGTTTCAGAACAACAACCAACCTCCTGAAAACGAAGGTTTAAACTTGGAGTGATTTTTATAGATTGCTATTGTGTTTTTTTTTAAATGATAAATATCTAATGATGTACGCATAATAATTAATTTAGTGCAAGGGCATACAGATATTAGTGCATGGACAAATGATGAGATATCTTATAGTGCTGAGTCCGATAGCGCCCAAGGTATGCATTTCTAATTTTTTAATATGATTACTGATAGCTTGAGTTCACAATTTTAAATTAAATATTTTATGTAGGTGGAAAGAAATATCAAGAAGGGAATGACGATGACATGATGGATCAGAATATAGAAGAATTTGAGAACGATGGTATTTTTATGGAAGCAGTTCAATTTACTGGAGATGAGATTGGAGATGAGATTACTGGTAATAAAATACAACAAAGAGCAAGTAAGTGTTTTGAATTTTTTATGATAACATTTAATAGTATAATTATGTCATCTCAAATAATAAATCATGTATCTAAAGTATTAATTCACTTAGGTATTTTTCACTCTGACTTACTTTTTTTCTAACTCTTGTTCCCTTCATAAACATATTCAATTTTGATGTACATAATAGATGTTGTGGAAAAAGAAAAGACAACACGTGGTCCTACAATGATGCATGTAGTACACATGAGAGAATATTGTATACCCATCATATTAAATAAGTTTGGTCAACCCATTGGGCCTGATAAAGCTACATTGGATGAGTTTTCATCATTTCTTGGAACGGTTGCTCGCCATTATGACTTTGCTCCATTAGTTGAATCTACTTGGCTCCGTGTGCCAGACAAAGATAAGATGTGGGATTATGTTTTGGTATGTATTGAAGTCATATTAAAATATTAGAGTATATTAGTTTGCATATTACTAACTTCTTAGTTAATTTTTCAGTCAAAATATGATGTTCCCATAAATGGAAAAAAATGGGTACTAAGTACAATAGGATCTTCATGGAGGGTACACAAGTGTCGATTCAAGAACAAGTTTTGCAAAACTTATAAGAATGACAAGGATAGGTGGCGTAACCGCCCGAAAGAGATTCCACAAAGTGATTTTCGAGTTCTTTTAAAGTTATGGAATTGCAAAGACTATCAGGTATTTGAAATACATTTGTTAAGCACATATATAAAGTTCTTACTTTTTTTTACATTTAGATCTAATTTAATATATGCAAATATTATTCTAGAACAAATGTTCTCGTAACAAACGCAGTCGCAGTTTCCAGAAATATAATCACACAGCTGGTCGTGAGTCTTTTGCGAGAATTCGAGACAGATTGGTATCTAGTATATATATTATATAAATTGTTATGTTCTTATTTGAGAAAGTATATGATATATTTTATATAATTTGTTATGCTTTGCTTTGACAAAATATATGAACATTTTGTTAATTATTAGTCTCAGGAAATTGCCCTTCCAGATTCTGATGATGATGGTGATGGTGATGGTGATGATATACCTTTATCAGTCATGTTTGAGGTGACACGTAAAAGGACAGAAGGGCGAAAATACAAAGACTGTAATGAAGATACACCAGCAAAAGTGGTAAACCTTATTTTCTTTTTTTTGTTACTTGATTAACTATCATGATTAAGGTCTCAGTTGCTACTGCGTAAATGCTTTTTTACTTTAAGAGTAAATTTTTACTGCATAATCCTTGTTAAATTGTAACTGCCAACATTGCATTTTTCTATTGCAGAGTTGCAGTTTTTACTACAAAATGCTGTTTTTTTACTGCAGAATTGCAGTGTTTTACCCCAGATTTTTTTTATTGTTGCTGCTGCATTGCACTTTTTTTTACTGCAGAGTTGCAGGTTTTGCTACAGAGTTGCAGTATTCACTGCAGAATTGCTGTTTTTACTGCAGGGCTGCAATTTTTTATTGCAGAATTGAAGTTTTTTTACTGCAGAAAATTCTTATTAATTTTTTTCTACAACATTGCAGTTTTTCTACCACATAATTGCAGATAATGTAGTTAATGTTGCTTCATTACATTGTTGTATTTATTTTGAGTTTACATTTATTTTAGGTTGAGATGAGGAACTATGAGTCACAAAATAAGGATGAAAATGGTGCTGCGATTGATGGATATTCACATGTTATGTCAAAAGAGATTGATGACCGTCCAATCATGCGTGGTAGAGGTGTCACTAAGAAAGATCTTGTTAAAGGGAAGGATAACCGACAACCGTGTGTTATGACTCCTGACAATATGAACACAATTTTAAGTGACTTGAGGAAAGAGTTTGAAGTGGAAAATGAGAAAAAGAATGCTGAAATAGAACAAATGCGCAAGGAGCGTGAAATTGAAAAGCAAAAGATCAATTTGGTTTTATCAAAACTTGTTACTCTGATTCCGGATCTTGATCCTACCTTACTTGGCCTATAGAGCTGAAGTACAAATCAGGTATGAGTAGTTAATTAAACATTGCGTTTTAGATTAATAGTTTGATATTTGTCATTCACTCGCTCTCTTTTTTCTTTCTTTTGCAGAGACATGTTCGTGTTGATGAGGTCGAGTTTGATGGTTTTTGAAGAAGGCTATTACAAGTGGATTTACTGTTTTATAGATTAAGTTAAATTTATTTATTTATTTATTTTGTCGTTGATCGAGCATAGTTCAAAACTATTAGTTGATATTTTTCACTTTGATACTTCGGATGCTTGATGTTACAGTTATTCAAAGACCATTTCATTACAAGGAATTGTTTGAATATATTAATGTTGATTGAAAATTTTTCAAGGTTTATATATATGATGATAGTATTTATATTGTACAAGCTAGCTTATCTTCATTCATAATACGTCATATACGAAAGTGCAATGCATTATGAGTAAAAACTTGATGCTATTGCTTGGATTTAAGAGTTACACATGTTAAAGGCGAATCCCAATACGTGTTACGTACTTTAAAAAAATGTTACTCTAATTCTTTCAAAATGTTGCATCAAATTTAAAATGTTACCTAAAACTCTGAATTAAATGTTGCATAAAATTTAAAATGTTACATAAAATTTTGAATTAAATGTTGCGGCAAATTTAAAATGTTACATAAAGCTACGAATAGTGTTGCGTGATGTAAAATAGGGTTGCAAAAGAAATATTATAAATGTTACATCAATGTAAAAAGTGTTGCATAACATTAGATTTTAGGTGTTACATTTGATTAAAAAAATGTTGCATAAGGCTCTCGTGAAAGTGTTGCAAAATAGTGTTGCATTTGTGATAGTTACGCAACACTTTTGGAAGGTGTTACTTAATTAGGTAAAAAATGTTGCATTTGACTTTATGCAACGAGACCTGATGTAGCACTTGTGAAAGTGTTGCTTTAACTGTTTTGCAACAATTTACCTATCTAATGTAACATTTTCCATGTGTTGCGTAGGGCTCATTTTGTTGTAGTGTGAATACTGTACTGATGTTGGTGTACATAACAAAGTTCTTCTGGTGGGAAGCTGGGTACTGGAACACAATGGATATTGCTCATGACAGAGGTTTTATGTTTGACTGTTTCTCATTTTTTCCTATTCCACAAATACTTCTCAGTACTCCCCCCTTTCTCATCTTCCAGCTTTCATCATTTGTATATTCAAAACAAATGTGGATGGTTTAACAATTTGTGGCATGTTGGCTTTTGTCTTTGTAGCTGGTTTTTATATATGCTGGGGATGCTTGGTTTGGGTTCCATCGATTTATACCTCTCCTGGAATGTATCTTGCCATTGCAGCCCGAGTGTGCATATGAGAATGTGGTAGCGAAAAGATATGAATTTGCAATGAGGCTCTGGACTTTGAGGAACATCCACTTAGACAATGAGGCTCTTAGACTACTTTGAGGAACATGTTTAGTGTAGGATGAGTTTGGTTGTAAAACAATGATGTAACCTTACTATATATATTTTTTGGTGCTCATTTTTTGCCACCATGGGTTTGGTTGTTAAATGTAGGAGGTTGTACAATGTTACACTAACAATGTTGTCCAATGAATGTACTCCAAAATATTACCTGAATTGGTATGCCTTTTTGTTTTTGTGGCAAACACTTGCTATTTATGGTGTTAATATATATGTGAGGGATGCCTTTGCCTGTGAAAAAGAAACATCTTGTTTGTGCTGTAATACGACTTTGTCTGTGATTTGTGTCGTAGTTGTCTATGCTATGTATGCGCTCTTACATCCACTTAAGATATTTTTAATAAATACTTTATGTAATTTAATAACTAAAACATTTATTACTTTGATTACCACTTGAGCCCATGTGTAAACTTGACTCTGATTACATTTATTATATTTATTACAGATTATTAGTTTAATTTTAAAAACTTGACTTGTTTATTTAAATAACTAGTTTAAAAACTAGTAGAATATGTAATCCATTGCCTAGTTAGTTAAGTATAATACGGGAATTAAACGAGATTCTTTTTTGAAGCATTTAGTTCGGTAAGATTAATGAAAAACGGTCAAAATTTCATTTAAAAAAACTTCGACTTTAAAAAAAAGTGTAAATACATATATATGTAGCCAAAACATTAATATCTCCCAGAAACACATTTTGTGTCTGTGAAGACCAAAGACTTTGTTTGTGTCTTCATACATAAATGTCTGTGAAAATACATGCATGGACATTTACAACAACAACAACATCCAAGCCTTAGTCCCAAACGATATTGGGGTCGGCTAACATTTAAATGAAACTAAAATTTAAATCTAAAGAACAGCAATTAATCATGTCATTAGGATCCCCTGCATATTCAAACCAGAAAGATTCACTCAAATGGTAAATGAACAAACTAGTACCAAGGATAAAGAAAATCATACATCACCACGGGGTTCTAGGGTACTAGTACATACACCAACTCATTATCATTCTCCCAAGAATGGCAGGGGCGGAGGGAGGGGGTGGCCTGGCTGGGCCATGGCCCAGGGCAATTCTTTTTTTTTTTTTGTATTATATACTCCGTATGAAATTTTTAAAAATAATTACAATTGGCCCAGTACAAAAAAAATTGGCCCAGTGTATAGCCCAACACAAATAATCCGTCCAGTGAAGCTAAAGAAAAGTAGCGCAGAACCAAGCCTGCGTAGAACCAAAGCCGAGTGAAGAGACCGACGTTTTACCGATGGGCGATTTGCGCATCGCCAAGCCCAGCCGGCAGGCGGCAGCCCTGCGGCTAGCAGACCACTCCGTGCCTCGACCACGGACACCGCCTCTCCTCTGCCGATCGGCCAGACCAGCTACGTTCCATTGACCGCTGACCTCCTTCTCCTTCTCCAGACTCCCGTTCTGTCGAGAAGGGTTTTGTTGTTTCAGTTTTTTGTTTTTACAATTTGTAGTTTAATTTAAGTATTTTATTTGTTAAGATTGCTACTACAATTTGATAAATGATTTAGTAGTATCACCCGATTCGTTCGTATGATTTGTGAAGTAAACACTATTAGGATTTAGTTTGTGCTTTTAAACTAAACAAACGATTTAGTTTAATTTAAGTGGCCCGCGATAAACCTAATAGTTTAAAATATTAATATGATTTATATAAATTCAAAGAAAATATTGTTTATTTTTTTATTCTTTTTTGCTAATTTTAGTAGGGATGACTATTCAATCTACTTACAAAAAGGCAAAAATCACATTTTGTTTGTTTTATAAGCCTAGTACACACTCAAAGTGACAAAAGTTAAATGTCTTGTTTGATGTCTGGATCTTATCAATCAAAATTGAACTTTTACAAAGATCGAATGTACAAAGATAGAATACGTCGTTTTCAAATTAATTGGTTCAATGTATTTAGGGAAAACTATCAAATAGGTTCTCGAACTTTCATTAAAAATCAAGTAATTCCATTTATAAGAGACTCTGTACGGCCGTCGCGATTTGGGGCGGTTCCCGGTGGAATTTTTTGATGAATTTTTTTGAGCATCTTATTCATCAGGTCTAGTTTACTCATACCAAATTTAATCTAAAATTCAATTGGGATGCATTCAAATTAATTCGAGAATGCAAAAATGCGCAGTTATCTTCAAGAATAATTTGAATGTGTTCTCAATTGAATTTTTAGCTCAAATTTGGTGTGCGTAAACTAGACTTGATGAATAAGATGCTCAAAACATTTTATCAAAAAATTCCACCGGGAACCGCCCCAAATCGTGACGGCCGGACACAGTCTCCTATAGAAGAATTTGATTGACTTTTTTTATGAAAGTTCGAGGACCTATTTGACAGTTTTCCCATGAATTTAATTGGTTAGAATACTCTCCAAGAACACACATAACGCATATTGTTTTATTTCCAGTTAACGTTTTAGTTTCAAACATTGTATTATTGTTCAAAAATATTACTATGAGTTTGAATGGATTTTAATCGTTATGTTCACACTATTGTCACTTTGAAAATATTTATTTAATTTTTGTAGTGTAAAGTCGGCCCAGGGTAGACATCTGTCCTGGCTACGCCCCTGAAGAATGGCCAAAACTCACAAAGATCATGGAAGGCACGATATCCTCTTCACAAATTATGTTAAAAAAAGACATGGAAAGTTGATAACAGTAAAGATACTAGATCGACTAACTATGAAAAGAATTCAATTCAAAAAACCATTTGATTTAGAAAATTATTATGTACGCAATCCATGACTGAGGAAGTGAAAACGCCTCCAATGCAGAACAAACCCGCTCTAGTCAAAACCCACACACCAAGTACGCACATTTCAGAAGTATATATACACACATGCAGGCTAAATGTGCATACACAGGCACCAGTATACTTATGCACATACATAAGTATATACACACAGACAAAACTATATTTACACACAAACATTTCAAATAAAAGTTTATTTACACAAAGACATAAGTAAATTTAAAACATTTTAAACACAGACACGATTATATACACATCACAAACACATAAACAATATTGTACACTTCACACAAACATCACACAAATACAAAGAATTGTCCCTGAAGAACAAACATATATTTATGTTCAAAGCTAAGCCAATGAAATCAATTCAGTTACATAAACGATCTAACCTCAACACACACTCATACCAAGCTCAGAGATGTCATCCAAGGCGGCCGCCGCCGCTTCTACGTCATCATCAGCCGCCGGAATTTCTCCTTTAGCTCGAGAAACATCGTCCAATGATTGTTTCCTTCACTTAGCTACCAAAATCCATTTATTTTGATGAGAGGAGGTGTTGGCGTCGATGTGCTGCGGGAAGAAGAAAGAAACAATGAAAGGGAAGAGAGGAGAGAGGCTGGCGTTGCAATTTCACGTGAGGGAGGGAGCAGTGTTCTAAAAAGCTTGAAAAGGCTCCGCCTAAGCCCGCCTATGCGTGAGGCGTGTGTGAAAAGCCCCGCATACATACTATGCGCCATCAAAGGCGGTCAACTGCTCTGTTGACTGCGTAGGCGCGCATTTTCCAGAAAAGGCGGACGCATTTTGCTTAGATGGCTGCACATCGACTTATTTTTTTCCTACCAGGTATATCGTGTGGCTCTCTCGCCTCCACACAATGGTTTTTACCTTTTGTTTCACTCTCTCAAATCCAACCCTATTTTCATGGATCTCTTTCAACTAGCAGATTCACGAGCTCTAGTACCATCTTGAAGCAAGAATTAAATTTCTTCATCTGCCACGCCGCTGAATTGAGGTACAGCCGTACAGGAGAGGGGACGTCTGGATTTCACCACGGGGGTTTGTTTTTTACCCTTTGCACTTAATTGATTGGCATTTATTTTAATCTAGTTCTTATGATTTGATTCTATGCTTATGATTATAGAGGCTAGGCATACGTTTCAGCTCATTTTTTCTTCATGCTGTTTGTTTCATGCCAAACTGAAGGACAAGATTCTTCTGGGGAGAAATGATTTATACATTTTTTTCATTCTTGTTAATTTCATTTGCTTAACGAAATGCTGGATTCTTCTTCTAAGATATGTTATTTATGCACTTTTAGATATCATTTTTGGTACTCTAATCATTGTATTGTAAACGAGTCTCAAGCTTCGAATCTATTAAACATATTTAGTTTAGGAAGAAATGTCAAGTAAGGGTTTGGGAGTAGATGTGGCAGTCCCAGAGCTTTTTTCTCAAGCTGGATAGGTTGGTTAAGAAGTATTAATACTGTTTTTGGGGGATAGAAGCAACCCAAGTCCCCATTTCTTCTACTGTTGATTAGTGTAATCTACGAACTGTGTTTTGACAGTTTTGGTATTATCCTTGCCTGTGATTTCTCTCTAATTTAACGTCTTGTTCACCATTGACCTTTCTACAACATTTTCAAATCAACAAAATTGGGATTAGGCTGTTTTTTCTTTTCTAGTATTCTTGGACCTAGCTAGTGGTACAAGTTGATTATCTTTATTCTTGCTATTTCATCTTTGCCAGGTTCAGAATATAACTTTCCCAGTGTTATCCTATATCCATCTTATGATCTTATCACAATACAGATTATTTCCACCCATTTTCTTTATTCTCTCTTTCTTAATACAGTTTTATTGAGATTTCCTTCTTTATTAGCATGGTTACTAAATACCTGTGAGGTTCATTTCTGTTTAATAGTCTGGCATTAATCCTCAAAGATTGTTTAAGCCACACTGCCTCCTCAAAGAACACTGATATGAACCCCAATTGGAAGCTGGTAATACAAATAGGTGTCTAAATGTCCCACTCACTCTTTAATATAAACTATTCACACTCAAATAGTCAAATGCCTAAAATGAAGAATCAACACAACTACTTTTGCCTCTAACACCTTAGTTTAATCTAACCAATGCACATTTTTTTATTTTTTTCTGTTGGCAGTTCACAAAATTGAAATGGAACAAAACACTCCTGCGGTGGATCAGAATGAGTTAATATGTGATTCAGGGGATGTTGGGTGGAAGACTGGAGTTCTTGTTGATAAGAAGAATCTGAATATTGTAAGGTGTACGCTATGTGAAAAAATTACAAAGGCCGGTATAAATAGGCACAAATTTCACATAGCAGGGATCAAGGGGAGAGGTGTTAAACCATGTCCTAATGCAAGTGTTGAGCAAAAAAAGGTGTGCCATGAAGCACTTGAAGAAAACAAGTCTCAGAAATTGGAGAAGATTTTGAGACATGCCAGATTGAGAGATGATGTTATTATGACTGCACAAATTAGTGAGGAAGAAGAAGCACCCGCACTTGAAGAAGGGAGTAGAAAAAGGCCCTTTTCAGCTTTAGGTCCTATGGATAAGTTTTCAAGGCCAATCAATATAACTGATGAGTCTATGAGCGCAAGTAAGAAAATGAAACAGCAGAATATCCATGATGTAATTGATAAAAAGAGGGTTTTAGAAGTTCATCAATATTTGTGCAGATGGGTATATGAAGTTGGAATTCCCTTTAATACCATTAACAGTGACACTTTCAAAATGTTTGTGGAAGCTCTTGGTCGATATGGCCCAGGATATACTCCTCCTTCTCAATACCAATTGAGAGAAACGCTTTTGAAAGCTGAGGTACAAAGGACAAAGGAAACATTGAAGAAACAAGAAGAAGAATGGAAAGCTAATGGATGTTCTGTTATGACAGATGCATGGACTGATGGGAAAAAAAGAAGCATTATGAACTTATGCGTGAACTGTAAATTAGGAACCACGTTTCTTTCTTCAAAAGATACCAAAGACGATTCTCACACCGGTCAATATATATTCGAATATGTTGATGGATGCATTGGAGAGATTGGAGAAGAAAATGTGGTTCAGGTTGTACCAGGTACACTAGTACTTAATTATTTAGTGACTTAATATTTGATTTTTGGTAATGATTTTGTTAAATGCATGTTTTGAGGTAACCTAGTAGACTGCCAGTACTATTAAATGCATGTTTTGAGGTAACTTAGTAGACTGCCAGTACTAGAGTACACTGCTTCCCTACTCATTATCCATGGATTTTATTTGCATTCTCATTGTGATTGTTTTATGTTATCACAGTCAATCTATGATTATGATGTGCATAATAATCCTTGATTTATTTTATTAGTAAGCTGGTGGGATTTCTATGGAAATGAAACACCACATTTGAAATTTATGGCAAAGAGAATCCTTGGTTTGACAACTAGCTCATCAGGCTGTGAGCGAAATTGGAGTACCTTTGAAGGAGTAAGTGTTTTGTCAGTTCTTGATTTGTTATATAACATCTCTGTTTTTTTGAACATGTACATCAGAACTTGTAAATTTCAAAACTAATAAAGATTTTCTAATGAAGATACACACGAAGAAAAGGAACCGTCTTGATACGACAAGGATGCAAAATCTAGTCTATGTTCAGTTTAATGCAAGACTAGCAAACAGGAAAAAAAGAAAGGACAAGTTGGAGGCTCTTGATGCTACATATGCCCAAGGTTGGATCGTTGATGGTTGTGATGATAATGATGATGGCATTACCAATGTTGAAACTACAGGAGCTTCTACAGTTGAAGAAAATGAAATTAGGGAGCCCGATGAAGAAGATTTTGAATCTGATGGAGAGGAAGCTATAATGGATGAAGAAGATTATGAATAGCTAACCCCTATCTTTTTTGTTATAATATGATAGATCTATTTTTTGCTTGAACACGAGATCGAGATCAGATATATATTTATAATTTAACTTATGATGCTAGGAAGGTTGGTAGTATTGCATTTTGAGCTTCATGGTAGGGGTTTACTTGATGGAATTAGAGGTGATCAGAGTCTATTTTTGGAATTAATAGCTTGATGGAGCATGTATGAACTCTGTACGTAGTTGCACATTGATAGAGCATTGTTTGAACTCTAGCTGCACATTGATATTAGAGTCCACTCACTGCTTTGGAGATGTTTGTTCTTTTTGTAAAGAGGGCAATCACCTTGCCAGTTCTAATATATGTAAAGTACGCTCCTATCGTTTTCTATTTTTAGAACTCAGTTGTATGGTTGGAAAATGAAGCATTTATGGAGTGCATAATCTCTGTACGTAGCTGCACATTGATGGAGTATTGTTTGAACTCTATAGCAGAACATGAAAATATTATGATGACTTTGCATGATATTTTTTAATATCACATTTATATATTTACTAATAACTTTAGGAAAATAAAAATTAATGAGAAAAATATTAGAACGCCTTTTCACGCCTAAGCCTCGTTTAATCTCGCCTAGGCTTCAAAGGCTTAAGGCTTGGGCGTGCCGCCTCGGCACGCCTTACGCCTTTTAGAACATTGGGAGGGAGGGGTAAAAATGTATACACATGTCTGTCCTTCACAGAAATTTTGTCTGTCACAGACAACTCAAAATGAGTTGTCTGTGACAGACAAAATTTCTGTGAAGGACAGACATGTGTACACAAGCAAAACTCAGGGAGGGATACACCTTAAAATTGCTACCGCCATCAGAATGTTCCTCGGCTATCACTAGTTTTTTAAAAAATGATTTCGTACTTTTGTGATTAGTTTACTATCTTTGGTTTGTAATATGATAACTTAATTAAAATTTGTTGGTCATTATATTTTCTCTATCAAGTTTAGTTACTTACGATTCATTATGAACTGATTAAGTTGACAAAGTACAAAAATGAAAAATGTTAGAGTTAATCATTGGTTGATTTTATAAATCATATACGAGTACAATCTTATAATTGCCAATGGGGTTAGGGTATTTAAGGGATACAATCTTATACTTCGTACGTAGTAATTGTCAATGAGGGTTATGGTATTTAAGTGACGGAGAAAATGTTGGTGTAATCATTTATCTTAGTTGAGTTGTACAATATGCTTTCTCATCTGTACTCTATTAAGAGATTGACTGTCCGTTTCATTTCCGTCTGTCATCCCTCCTAGACCTTCCATTCCGTTCATCGCCGTCTCATCGTAGTCTTCAGCACACCTTTCGGTTTCCGTCTCTCACCCAGCTGATGCTTGTTGGGAAATTATTTATTATTTCAAATAAATAGTTATTATTTAATGCTACGTATTTCAAATAAATAAGTTGGTAGTTTTGACCAGTCCACACCGTTTGGTTTAAAATGTTTTATACTCATAATACATGAAGAATTGATCATTTAAATGTGGTAAATTAATAAATGATTTGATGGAACGTGGCTTGCTTCTAAATGATTTGCCTTTTATATTATTATTATATTATGTAACTTCTGCTATAATCAGTCCGGATAATATTTTGAAGCTTTCTTCCGGATGAATTTTGAATGCATCGGAGTTTGAGAACGTGGATCGTTTGCATGGACGTCCGCGTATATCTCCTACGCTCATGGGTCATCGCTCAACTCCAACTAATATTTTTGCTCTATTTTAAAACTTGGGCGCACGTCTATAAATATATACTTGAACTACTTGTATATTTTTCGTAATGCGTAGACAGATACATGCACATGCATACACTTTACGAAGCTCAACTAGTATACTGCTTAAATTAAAGAACTGCTGGGTTACGAACAAAAAGAAAATTTCTTTTCTTCCTCGTAGTTCTGGGTCCGGCGAATCAGCCGAAGAGCCCGTTATATCTTGGGGGAAGATTTCCAGCCACCGGAAATACTTTCTTTAGGACAGCGTCTAACGCGTCTCGGGCTGTTTTATTTTTCTAACATTATTTTGCAGGTTCCGACGACGAATATATCTCCAACAATGCTTCTGTTCCATCTTGGTAATTGTTTTTCTGTTTCTCAGCTTCGTTGAAGACATTGCTCATGTCCTTATTAATGTGAGATGGTATTATGTTATTACTGCAATTTGGCTTCTCGGAAATACAAGGAAATGAAATGGAGTGCTTGGATTCTGGGAAGTGCAAGAAAAACGGAAAAATGCTAAAACCAAATGTCTTTTTAAGTTTGAATTGCTTTGGAATGAATTTGCAACTCGGAATGAACTCTTCTTTTTAAGTATAAATTGATAATGAAATAAGAAAAATATCTAACATAAACCTACTATTAAACTGATATTGGAATTTCAATTCCTAATAGTAAGTAATGGACCAGAAACTACAACATATCAAAAGCGTCATGTTTTTTTAAGAGATAGCAATGCGTTTTACGGTTTTTATTTTCAGAAAGTTGTCCGTGTGGGTAAAAAATACATACCCTCCAACTACAAGTCACACAACATATATATTCATCTTTTGTTGGGCTAAAAAATTGTCAAAATAAAATGTAAAGAATACATATAACCCTCTGTTAATTTTAAATCCAAAGCCTAACTTTAATGTTGTTAAATCTCCATCATGTATACTAAAAGTATAAAAAATCTCCTAAATCACTTATCAGAAAGAAAGTTTAATAATCAGTAGGAGAATAAGGTCACGTATATGGTTTAGTAAGGCATCATGAGTAAGAACTAATGATCCATTAATAGAAAAAGTTCCTCGTATAGACTTTTCGTCGAACAATTGTTAGTCTAGGACCGAAAAAAAGGCCTACTCACACTTAATACAATGAACTAAACATGAGCCTATTTTTTATCCTTTTTTTGCCTAGGGTGCCCGCCCCCCTTGCACCCCTCAGGGCCGCCCCTGAACATAGCAGGTTCTAATTATAACCTTTATATATAATAAAAGAGTTTCAAGAAGAGCTTTTCGGAAGAAGTTAATTATCAAGGTGCCACAGTTATTTGAGTATTTCGAGTTCAGCTTCCAACATGTAAGTTCACTACTACGTGTACATGTTTGTTCAATCAAATAAAAGAAAGAAGTCTGGTTGATTTTTAATAGTTGATTTTAGTCTGTGTGCTATTATGTGAATTGGTGAATTATTTGATGAGTTATTTTATTTGATGTATTAAGTTATGTTTATTATGCATAGTCAAGATTTTGTCGGTACTTTTCTTTTTAGATTTAATGATGTTTTTAATCAAACATTACCATAAAGAGAACTAATATTTAAAGTGAAAGATCAGACAGGTCTTAAGAAATTAGAGTCAGAAATATTCATATCAAATAAATGAAACATTTTCTAATTTCCCCTTCACCCTTCCATATGAGCACTTGTTCTTTTTTAAAGGAAAATAAGCACCGACTTCATTCATGTTTGACAAAATCTCAATAATTGGTGTATTTTCTTTGTCTTTAGAGTTACTTTTGTTTGGTTTTTCTTTAAACATAAGTAAAATAAAATAATGGAGTAAACTGTGACCAATTATTTTGAAGTATAAGTCTTTATCACTGCATTATAAAATTCAACGTAATTATAATTGTGAACATTATAGTGATTGTTATGTATCTTTATATATATATATAAAAATAAAGATGGTGGAAATCATAGAAATCTATTTGGAATCAAAAGAAGTAAACATTTGTTCTCACAATTAATGAAGCATTATTTAATATTCAATAATTAATAATAATCAATGATTCAGTAGAAGTCTAATTAATAGTTATAAGTTACAAATTAAAGAATAGTAAAATGAGGATACAGACAATAAATATAAACAAAATTGTTAGATATATATTAAAAACATACACATGCCGAACTAATTAATAGGCATAGCATCATAATAGCATCTTTGATGACCCTTTTTCGGCTTATTAGGCTTATCAGACAACTTTTTTATCAAATACGTAACTTTTGATTTCACACGCTAAATTGTGTAATAATAAGAAAAAGTAAGGTCGGAGTTATTTTTTCTGTATTGATGGAAGTTACTCTAAAAGATCATTTTAGCTATTTTCATATTATTTTTCTCTATTTTACTAATAAAAAACATTTTAATTTTTTTCATAAATCAACAGAATCAGCGAATCCATCTAATTTAGGAAGAACTTTATAAATTTCAGCAGAATCAGCCGATTATCTTTAATTAACAACAATCTTACATGTACTCTAATATAGTTCAATATGAGATTTTAATTTTTACAACATACAAGTATATGTCTATATACATTATTCATGAAATGAAGAATTTCAAAATTATTAATTTAATCCGTTGTTCGTGCAACACGCGGGTTGATTGACTGGTAATCATTATACGAAGGAGCGTATAAGCAGGGCCGGTCCTAGGGGGGTGCAATAGGGGCGACCGCCCTAGGCCCGTAAAAATAGAGGGGAAAATAGGCCCAAAATTTTGTCTTTATATATAGTGTGAGTAGGCTTCTTTTTTTAAATTAAGCTCAAATAATTAGGCCTAAGGTTTAATTTTGTTGGAAATTTAAAATTTTTAAAACAAAGGTTAAAAGGCATGTGGCACGCCTCTTTGAGTAGTTAAGTCTCTTCACATCTCTAAGCTTTATAATTCTTTTAATTACAAAATTACCAAAATATTTATTGGCTCTAAGTCTTTGTACAACTCGTGTGTCTCCCAAACTCCCGATTCATAAACCACCTCATCCCACTAACCTAATTAATTTCCTGGACGGCGGTTTCCAAGTTCCAATTAAGCTCAATTATCTAATGAACTAATAAAGGACTAAGGTTTAATAAGGTCTTGGTCGTCTTGCACAAGAGTAGACATTAGAGAGCGCCGCAAGCCTGCAAATCGCCATTAACCAAAGCGGTCAGCGGTGAGGAGTTTAAACAGCGGCCGGCGACTAGAACACCTTCTTCTGTCAAGGCTTCAAACAATCCGACAACGGCTAGTAAATTATTCCCAATCTATTAGCTATGAATAATAAATCCACTAAATTTTTTTTGATTTATGAATTATGATTAATGATTTCTATATGATGCATTTTTGGCGTCTTGGTAAATTCATACGGAGTATATGTTTGGTATTGTGCAATTTTGAATTGAATTCCTTTATTTCGTTTTACTATTGTGAAGGTGTTTGATAAAATGGGTGAATCCGGTTGGGAAAATGAGAAAAAGAGACAAAGATTAGAAAAGGCAGCCTTAAGTAAGACGAGGGCGATTCTTCTCAAGTTGAATCGCCGCTAAATTCTTTTGTGAATGAAAACCATAACATGCTTGGAAATAGTGATATAGGTGCAAAGGATGCAAATAGTGAAATTGAGCCAGATAATTGTGATTTAAGTGAAGAGAATAACTTTTTGTGGGTCCTGTTTCGTTGATAGATTTTTAGAGATTAGTTTTTGTCTTGAACATAGGCCCAAATAATATCTCGCCCATAGGTCCGAAAATCGACAGGACCGGCCCTGCGTATAAGTTATATTTTCATCATAAATGGTGACCAATTATTGTACCCAGATGGTTTTCATCATCATAAACCTAATTAATATAATGCAATGATAAAGACTTATACTTTTAAATATTTTCACCAATAATGGGTTACATTGTGATCAATCATTGTACCTAGATGATTTTCGTCATCCGCTTTAATTTTGCTCATCCACGGTACACTTTTGCACACAGAAATCCACTTTAGGCAACGAAAAAAACTTTGACTTATTTAATTTACAAAAATGTCATCGCATTTTTAATTCATTTTAGTGAATTTTTGACATATTTAGAGTCATTAAATCTTAGATTCGACGCACCATATTCATTCCTACTTTTCATGGGATGGAGACTTTTCATTTGATCCTATTTTTTTCTTTTTATTCTCATTTGATCATATATATGATCAAATGAGAATTGCGAAGTAATTTAAAAAGTTGTAAAAGTTAAACATTTGATTTTATAAGTTATGTTTAACGCATTAATAGTTTATTAGGACATACTTCGTATATGTCTTGGCAAATAAATAAATATCTTTTTGATAATTTTTTTTTGTAAATATTTTTCAACTACTAGTGTTTTTTATTGTAATCTCATACTTCCTGAATTTATCACTATAAATTATACTTTTGATTTAGAGTTGTTGGATTTATAAGTTATGATTTCTGTTATATAAGTTACCTTATTATCTCTATTAATTAAACTTCGCAATTCTCAGACTATGACACACTTTTCATGTGATCTTTTCCTACACAGGCGCGCACACACACACACACACATGCACATAACGGCTCCTATATATATAGGAGAGGGTTCCAATAGAAAGAGAACTTTCCATGCAAAGTGATAATAAATCTTGTGCATTTATTTCTAGATCTAATAGCTCAAAATGAGCCAACAATGCACTAGATTCAATCAAAAACGTGGTGGCAATTTCGTAAATAAACCGAAGTTTTTTGTCACCGCAAAAAAGTGCAACGGAAGCATGCAATAGTGCAATGCAATGAGGGAAAAGTGCACATGTTCACACTTTGCATAGGAACACCTCTTTTTGTTTGAACTTTTCCCTATATATATAAGAGTTCTAAATATGTCAAACATGCACTAAAATGGATTCAAACATTGTGATATTTTTGTACTATACATAAATCAAAGTTTTTCTTATTTGTAAAAAGTGGAGTTTCATATGTGCAAAAGTCTACTGTGCAACGTCTTCACATGATCAAAAGTGCCAAAGTGGAGACGTTGACATTTCTCGTGGGAAAACCACTTTTTGTGACCACTAATATGTTAAAAATGCATCAAAATGGATTAAAAATGATGTGACATTTTTGTAAAATTAAATATACCCGTAGTATTTAATACTCTGTATGTCGATTATTAACTAGTTAACATACTTCGTATTATTTATGGACTAACTATTGAAGTATGAAAGAGTAGGTAATGAATCATTATCGATCTTTTAATCTTTGAATCCTACACACATATTAGGGGGTCAACTTTATACAATTCGATCATATTAAAAAGCCAGTTAAATAAAAAGTCAAGGAATCTTCTCAAAAAAGGGTAAGGAATATTTGCTATGTGCTCGCTCTCAGAGTCTCAGTCTCGCCTATAAATAGAAACGGCTCCACACATCAGCAAGATCACCTATCTTGATTACTCATCAAGAAATTCTACATTTCAATTAAACTCAACTCCCATATTGTATCAAGTTTAGAAATATAAAAACACATAATAATGGTGATTGTTCTTAAGTATTCCTTGAACATCATGAAGTTCATAAGTATCTCCGGGGGACTGGAAGATGATAGAGAAGACAAGCAAATATACCAAGAACATCCCAACAATGACGAATATGATGATAACAACGATTCGATATCTCTGATAATGGCGAGGAATATGACGATGATGATGATGATGATGATGGTTTTGAAAGCGATGGTGACATTGACGACGATAGGAGTTGCATTACCCAGGTAGATGATTATTATGATGATGATGATGACGGTTCTGAAAGAGATGGTGACATTGATCATGATGATGGGAGTTGCACTAGCTATGCCGCTTTAAGTGAAAATGATGAAGGCCTTGATCAACTCTTGGAGGTAACATTATTGGAGAGTTGGAGGCAATAATATTAAACAGTAGATGATACGCACGTCGTTAACCAGGTGGCTCGTCTACTCGTTCAGGAGTTTTCCAATGTTAGAAGTTGGGCTACTTTTACGAATCCCCATCAACTTCCTAATCGTGTACTTGGTGCTTATTTACTAGAGCTGAAGGGTCTTCCAACCATACTATCCAGTTAATTCTTCTGCTCATTTATCTAGTTGTCTTACATCTTGTTCTAGCTTTAATTGCTTTTATTTTTCACTGTTATTTTGTCATTATTTATTGGGTCAGGTCTAACCCCCTTCCAATAAATGCATTCACTTATTTGCTCTGTTTTTCGAAGAAAAATGCCTCTTCTTGAGGGGTATTGGTTTGTGTCCCCTAGCTCTCTCCGTGTATCATGTCTTTATTTTAATAAAACACGGCAAATATTTCTTGACATTTGCCCCACCGACTAAGGTAGTTTGTCCACCCCCTTCAAGAAAATGATAATGATGAAGGTGATGAAAGTGATGAAGACTAAAGTACAAATTGGGGGCAATAATAATTACGGAGTAACAGTTACTTGAAACACTACTCTATAGTGGTGCTCGTCTAAGGGAGTGTTTGCAACTGCTTTTGCTTAAAAAAAAAGCACTTTTGGAGATGTAATGAAAAAGTGATTAGTAGTAAAAGTTGATAGTGTTTGAGAAAAAAGTGATTTTGAAAATAAAAGTTGGTAGTGTTTGGTAAAATAAGTGCTTTTTGTGTAATAGAAAAGGGAAAAGCACTTTTCACACGCAAGCCGAGAAAAAGTAAAAATTGGAAGTGTTTGGTAAATAAGTGCTTTTTTAAGCCAAAAGCTGAGAAGTGCTTTTTTTAAGCTATTGCAAACACTCTCTTAAGGGTTACTTAAGGGTTAATTAGGTGCAATTGCTTCAACTGGGAATTCAAGAAGGTGTATTTTATATTGTTTCTTTGTTGTGGTTTATGTTTGTTGGATCTTAATTGCGTGTTTCTTTGGGGATAAACGAAAATTGAGTATGGGGAGAAATCAACGATGTCATCTTTTCTACTTCGTATATGTTTAGGCATTTCAACCTATATTTGTGGCTCACAAAAGCCCACTTCAATAAATGAATTGCTCCACTTTAATAAGCTGCTTTTGTGAGTCATAAAAAATGGGTGGGGTCAAATTGAGGTACCTTTAGCATTTTTGTAGGCATATTTCACGGAGAAGAATTGTCCTAAATAGGACCCAAAATATGACACCTATTTTTCTTCCCATAATTGGAGTCCTATATTATGACTGCTATATTTTTTCTTTCTGAAATAAGAGTCGTTATTGATATGATTGAAATAGTACTATCATTAATAGTACTGTCATTAATGATAGTAAACAATGTCATGTTAATTGTAAATGTCTAGTATTGCAACTATTTTGGAAGTAATGACTCCAAAAATATTGTCATGTTACTCCTAGCTAATTCCGTAAGAAAAATATATAGCAGTCCTATTTTGAAATTCCAAAACCTGATTACTCCTATTTCGGAAACTTTCCCTTTAAGTAATTATGATTTCTCTAATTTGTCATGTTAGTGTTAATTATTACGGAGTATAATGCAATAATAATATAAATAGTAATCGTCATAAATAGGACTAAAATAGTGGGAAAGTTCTGAAATAAGAGTTACTCTTGATTTATTTCCCAAATAGGTAGTTGACTTGCCTGTTGCTATTTCCAACTCTACTCCTCCTTGCAATTGAGTTCAATTAATAAAATTGATCAATCATTTTTACTTTTTAGATTTTTCCCATTAATTGTTTACAATTAATAATGAATTGATGCAGATTTAAATGGCACTTGTTTTATAAAAGATAATCTTCATAATTGTATCACTGCATGACACTAATTAGATAAACTAGTTTTCTAACGCGCGTTGTGCACAAGGCCATGGTAGTAGGGATATTAATTCCTCGGCTTAGGTTGAGTCAATATATGTGTAATATGAATATAATATTTGACTACATGGTTTGTTATTTACTGACATGGAATCCTAATCAATAAAGTGTTTATTGTTTAGATTATATGTGGGGAATTAAAACAGCCAAGATGAGTATATACAATAATACAAGTACCATAATAGTAGGAGTAAGGTTCACAGTCAAACATTAGCATGCTTATGTGCTGTTATATGAAAACATACATAACAAACACAAAAATGTTTTGCTTGAAAAAATAATCAAATATTTATTGGTTATAGATAGTGCATGGAGAATAAAAGCAAGAGTTCTATGATCACAGTTGTAGTAATAAAAGTCGTGGAAAAAGTGACAAGTAATTAAGCTTTCTTCTTGCGCTTCAAATCAACAGGTAAGTCCTCTATTCCTGAGTGTGTGAGTTTCATTGATGAAGTTGGATGTTAGAGCAAGAATTTGACGGTTTATGTTGCATTAAAGAGGGTTGATCACGAAAGTAAATGATACGTTCATGTGGCTTAATGGTGGTTATTGTAACGGATCTGTGTTCATTATTGTAATTAATAATGATATTAAGGCAAGAGGTTACTTCTTTGAGCTGGTAAGCATTAATGATGAGTTAACCGACGGATCAGAACCGTCAAGTCAAACTGCCCATAATGGACAACTCGAGCTGGTGGACCATTCACAAGGCCTAATGACAATTATTGTAATGTCTTTATGTATTATTAGCCTCTTTAATATGATTAATGAAGGTATTGATTGTAATTGATCGGCCTTTATGACAGATTTGAAATCGTCATAAAGTGTGATCGATCCGTCAGTAACGTAAAAAGTCATCATTAGGGCTTTAATTACATTTCCTATAAGTAGGATAGCCTCATTGTAATCAGGGGGAGGCTCACATTCGAATAATACACGAGTTTACATTCTTATTCACTCACTTGTCATCTTCTTCATTGCTCTAGTTCGAAGCCCATTCTTCATATAAATTCTTTTTTAATTAGTTTTAGCTTATCAATAAAATTGCTTAAACATTGGGGTTGGTGGATCAATGTCGGTTGCAACAATGTAGTGGGATGCATGATGCATGCATGTTATGGTGTAGGAAGGGCCTGACTCAAAAGTGCCAACAACTCTTCAACCTAACAAATAAAAGTTTTAAGGAATTAATTTTTTGTGTACTCCAAGTCCATTTCTGACGATGTTTAAACACAGACTCATCATAATACTACATTGATTTAAAGTAGCTAAAATTATTGAAGTCATTGTTTTTTTTTTAAATTATTGAATTCATTGTTTTAAAAATCATCTTTTAAAATTTGCATATTGGCTTTTTTTTAGTACCACACTTTCAATGGTGATGGGTATAGCTGCAGTTACTATTATACTACTCCGTATAAGATTAGAATAACAACATATATTTAGGGAAAGCAAATATCAATCCCATATAAAAACTAGATGATTTATCGTTAATATCTTTAATAGTGTTTTACTTGTTTTACTACATAAACTTTGAATGTGATTGAATTACTTTTTATGTATAAGATAGTTGAATTGTTGCAATTCCAAATAAATCAATTGAATTATAAGTGGGCGGTTAATATGTCAAATGCTTAGCTCTATTACATAAAAGCCTACTTTTCCATATTATATGCAGATGTCACTTAAAAGGCCAACATAAATGAAACATGGTTTTTTTTGTGAAACAGTTAATCTCTCAAATGCTTATACTTTAATTTATTTTTTATAGATGTTATAAAACAGGATGCTTTTATATTACTTAAAAATCAACCTTATTCATGTTTAGAACCTATTGACACGTGGGCTGATTTTTTTAGTGCAACATTAAAGGGGTTATGTCTAAAATAATACTAAAAAAAGAGCTATGGACAAAAAAGAGACCTTTTTTTCTATTTTACAAAAATGAGACTAAAAATGAGCTAGGAGACTATTATACCCTTATTTTAATAGAATCTCACCCATTAATGCTACAGTAACGCCACAGTGACCAATAACGTTATAGTGACCAAATCCGCCAGTGACCAAAAATCATTTGTGACCAAAAATCCAAAGATCCGTCAGTGACCAAAATCATTAGTGACCAAAAATTCTACCTAGTTACCAACGTCAACCCATCCAGTGACCAACATCCGCCAATCCAATTACCCGACTTGTCCAGTAATCCAGTTACAGTTACCCAATCGTCCAGTTACGGTTACCCGATTCGTCTAGTTATAGTTACCTAACCCGTCCAGTTACAGTTATCCGACCCGTCTAGTTACAGTTACACGACCCGTTGTCCAGTTACAGTTACCCGACCCGTCCAGTTACAGTTACCTGACCCGTCCAGTTACAGTTATCCGACCCGTCCAGTTACAATTACCTGCCCGTCCAATTACTATCTGAATCAATTACAGTTACATCTGTCAAAAACATGATTTCAAACAAAAATCTACTGTGAACGCCCAGTTATGCCGACCACCGCCACCAAGGCACCGCCAAACGCCGCCAACCCGCCCTTCCCAACTTGGTCCCTACCCTGCCTCCCCAACCTTGCATCCTCGCAGCTCACAGCCTCTCCCAGTGTCCCTGATTTGGTCACTCGCAATCCTAGCATCACAGAAAACCTAGATCTAAAATCGATATGCGCCATCACCTCCGGTTTCTAGCCATCACCGCCGTTCACCCTCGCCATCACTGAACGAGAAGAAGAAAGAAGGGAAAGAATTGAGATGAAGAATAAGAACCATACGATGATGAGGATGCGGTTGACAACGAAGAAGAAGAGGTGAAGATGGATTCAGTTGGCGCCTTAGCGGTGACGATGGCAATGAATGGAGACGGAAGCCGAAGGGTGTGTCAGTGAGGTAGGTGGCGATTGAATCGAAGCAAATCCACCGATCTACGATGATTAAAGAGCGAGGCGGTGAGGTGTGCAGTGGAGTCCGTGGTCATGGACTACTCTCCAGATCCAGCGAGATGCTGAAATCTCGAATTGGAGTCGAAAGGAACGAGGGTTAATTTTGTAATGTAATTATAAGAACGGTCTCATTTATGGAAAAGTAGAGAAAGGTCCCATTTTTGTCTGTACGACTCCCGTAAGTATCATAAGCGCCATTCTTTCAACATTAAATAATTGGATTACTTCTGTGAGCCAACACATTTTCAAGGGTGGTGGGCTGATAAGTTCGTATTTCAACAAGCATTTGATGCGTGTTGGGATCGGCTTTTGATGATTTTCCTAGTTTTAAGGTGTCACAAGTAGGGGTGGGCAAGAATCCCGGTCCCGTTGTCCCATTCCGGTATATCCCGAAACCGTACCGGTGTTGTCCCGTTCCGTTTGGGATCCGATTATTTTGTCCTGTACCGGTCCCGTACCGGTTTAAAACGGGACATGACCGGGACATCGGAAGGTTA